GTGGGAGGGGAGAGAACGGCTTCTTGTGTACCAGTCTGAGGACCCGTTGGTCTCGAACAACTTCAAGTACACAAATGTCGCATCAGCATTCCGTGTCCAGGACTCGCAACTGAGTGTCAAACCATATCAAACCATCATCGCCAGCCATGTCACACCCACACATGGCTCCGGCTCCGACTACAGGATTTGGAGGCCAGCAGACTGCTAACTAAAGCTTGGCGGGTCTACTTTGTGAAGGAATCTTCAGAATCTTGGATCCTATCTTAACTGTGCTTCAGTCTGTCAGTGTTTCATTTTTGTTTCACGTTCATATATTCTCTGATTCCCGGGAGCTTAGGAGATCTCTCCTCGAAACTTGCTTCGACTAGTTGGCTGAGTTTCGTGGAGCTTCGTGCTTGAAAAGTGTCGTGTACCGTGGCTCCGTGTCTTTATCCAAGGCAAGCCGCTCTATTTTTTGAAGTCTGATCTAGATCTTGCTCAGGGAGCAGTGGTGAGGCTGATCTAAGGGATTCGTTGGATGGACAAGGATGTTTGTCCTTGATTTTGAAGCTGGTTAGGCGGCTTGCGCCCTTTTACCAACAAGCTCCACACTGAAATTTTTCTAAAACTGCTGAATGTCCAATACAATGATTCCTGTGTGATGGTGTGGCCGAGTCCAGCTTAGGATGATGGACTTTGAGCGAACGCGCTGAAAAGAGCTTGGCACAGCTTGCAACACTGACAATACAATCACCATCAACCACCTGTACATGACATGTTAAGACCCAAATGTTTTTAAATCACACCTGAATGGGAGGAAATCTCCTTTTATATATAAAAGAACAATTGAATTGATCTATTGCGTTGCGTATAGGCGGACTTCTGTCCTGTTTTCCAGCTTCACGGCTGAAATATAGATCCCCGGGGTCGGCGGCAGGGGGCGGAGCCCTTACAATTAAATACATCATATTCCGAGACGCTCCAAACAAACTATACATTAATGGGTGTCTGGCTGCGGGACCACCATCCACCCAAAGACCCCAAAAACCTCTTCCCACGTCTCACCCCTCGCTAAAGACGACGGATTCTGCGGGTTCCCCGCGCGGTCGATAGGCGGGACCTCGGATTCTTCGACCAAGGAACAGTTGTCCGGCCGTGTCCTGCATGGTGGTACGATCCAGACACTCTGCCAGGTCCAGGAGACGGTCCATGATCTGGGCCGCGGCGTGTAGGGCGCCGGGGTACCCGTTGCTTGGTTCTCATGTGACTGTCGAAGGTACAAAGAAGACACCAAATATACGCACCCGAAATCAACATCCGCTGAAAAAAACCATCTTCGTATAAAGAAGCCAGTGGCTGACCAATAAACGCCTCTAGCTTGTGTATAAGCGCCCGTGGGGAATAGCAGGAAAAACACATCCGCAAACTCAAAATACCCCTTGTACTTGGGGTCACGGGTTGCGGAGTTGCGGACAATCCTTTTATTAAAAAAACGGTTTATGATATGGAATATATTGGAATATTATGGAATGCTCCAACATAAGGCTTTGACTCCAAAAGATTGTGTTCACGCCGCAAATCAAAAAAAAACACATTGAGGAAGTGCCAGCCCCAGCCAGCGGTGGGGGAGCGGGAATCTGTCTTGAAGTTGTCGGCTATTTTGTAGAGCCACCTTTCACTCCCGAAAACTAACATAGACCCTGACAATGACCCCCTTGAAGATGGTTTTCCTCTACCAACAAGTGGTTTTCACGGTCCATGTTAGTCTTCCAGGGTGTAAATCACCTGTCCGTCCTTTTCCACGTGAATGGTACGGGCACTTTGATCACCTGCAGCCCCGTGCAAATCTTCGACATTGCGACAGCAAAGAATTGCATTGACGTATACGTGACATTGATTAAAATCGTGTGTTGGAACCAAGTGTTATTATTACTACCAAGTGTAATCGTGTATTTATTGTAACATTGATTGGAACTTAAACCAACAAGATCCAACTACACCTGGGACATCCTGTCTGGGTGGCCACTAGACCATCCTACACGGCTTCTGGACCGACACACCTTGGACACACCAACAGGGTCTAGTCCAGTTCGAAGGACCTCCAACCTCCTTGAAGCTTTCCAAGAAAAAACCGTACCCTATAGCTTTCCAAGACCATTAAAAGAAAGGTTGACCTGGTGTAGCGTCAAATCCTTCACAAAACAATGGTTGTTTGGTTGAAAAAACAACATCAAATTCAAACAGGGGCAACCGGAAGCCTATAGGGTTATAATATAGAATGTTATTCCCTAGAGCTCCAAGTACCTCCTCCGAAGGTATGACTGGACCCTCCTGGCACCCACCCCAGTCCCACCTTCTTAGAAGGTACAACTGGAGCCGAACGGGATTGTAGATCTGCCGTCTTCCCAACTCCTCTCCGCACGGCGCACCCGAGCCTCAGGGCGCTTCCATCGTCCTTCTGGCTCGGTCCCTTCCACCTGACCAGAGCAGTCGGGTGGGAAGAGTGGGGGAGTGGGGCAGGTCCTTCGGCAGGTCTGACCTTCACAGGCTTTTAGTTTGGGGTTACGCATCCTTATTCATCCATTTCAGGTTCATGAATGGATCGATGAATTTTCGGATGAATGGTGCCGTGGTGCATTGCTGAAGGTCGACATGAGGCCTTGCTGAATCCGGATGCGATGCTCGGGCCCGGATCGGAGCGGATCGAAAGACCGAAAGGCAGGGTGTCCAGACCGAACATCTCAAGAGCCTCTTCATTATTAAAGGGCCCGGATTCTGACCAGGTCATATTCATATTGTTTTTGGAAAAACCGTGGGGTAACGTTTAGGCATTCTAGGTTTTTCACAGGTCACATCCAAACAAATCGGCAGTGCTAACATATACGGGCTTAGTCTTGAAGCCTCTGGATACGCCCATCTACTCCAATTGACCCCCGGAAACAAACACACAGGGCTAACATGGTTTATAGGGCTAACATGCCTCATCTCCCTGGCGCGGACCGCGGAGATAGGGGACCGCCCATACCCCGCTTTCGGGAACATCCACATCACCCCATCAAAACCAAGATGATGAAGCATATGAATCTCTATGTAGGGTTCCTGTCCCACATCCTCAGGTGGTTAGACTCCCTGGCCACCCACCCCAACCACCTTCGAAACGGAGCTAGTTGGAGCAGTATTAGGGAATGGAAGGCCTGTAAACTGTAAACACAACCAGAAGATGCCAGTCCTTAATGGGACCTTGTCCAACAACCTCCTATACTCACCTCCCTTCGACCATCCAAAATAGGAGGTTGTTGGACAATGTCGTTGTGAAGAGGTCCCCTTAAGGACTACGTACTTCCAGATCAATGGTCTTTCACTGGGGTCGACAGCAGGACATCCGAGCTGGCCGGATGGTCCAAGACCCTTAGCAGTCATGTAGAACCCAAACACGACCTGTCTGAGACTGGCGATATTTACCATTGACCCGCCCCAATGTATAGGCATAGATTCCATATATGTGATTCAATATATTATATGGAGGGTAGTTCGTTCCTCAACAAAATGTAGTACGGTACAAGTCTGTTTTCTAGGGTATTTGAAGTCCTCTCCAGGTAAATGCACCCTTGAACATCGATGCAGGCGGAGCTGTTCGCCGAACTCGCCACCCGCATCCACCCGCGCTGTTCGCCACCCAGCGGCCCTTTTTGTCGTGACGCATCAGCGCTGTTCAGGTGGCGAGTTCCGCGCTTTCAGCGGCGGTCTGAAGACGTTTGAGCCGTTGGTTCATGGAAATCAGCGCTTGGCAGCGCGCGGATCAAAGATTCTGGGATCCTCCAGTTTCTCGGCAAGCACTGGATGTTCCAAACGTTCGAACACGTGTTAGAGGCCAAGATAGAGACTGTGAGGTAGAGATCACTGAAAGAGATATGATGCATCATCTGAGAATACCTATAACGATCTCCCTTCCAGTCACCTGGAAATCAGTGCCCCTGGAAACCCTGCCAAACCACCCCAATTCGCATCAAACCTTCAAAAGAGACCCACATGGAACCTGAAAACCACGTCGGGTGGTAGAGCAAAAAAGGTCTTCTGGTTCGAAGGTCCATGCCATCAGGTTCCATGTGGGTCTCTTCCCGGGCGTATAGAATCGCAACCTGCCTGCAGTGCCTGCACCTGGGGGCTCCGCGAAGAGAATTTCTGGAGTCGCCCACGACATGACGTCAGCTCACTTGACATCTTCCTGCCCGTTTGGTCGTGAATATGAGCAAACAATACCCATGGAAATTCCATGGACGTTCTTGCATTGAACTTCCCGTTGAGGAACCGGGAAAAAAAACACTTCGAATGGGGATTTACACAGTCTGGGAACGCACCCGATCCGCAAAAACCATTGACTTTGGAACACCCATGGCCGGATGGCCTACTTGTGGATGCACGTGTTTCTTAGCCAACAAAAGGACCCGAAGAAACCTGATTCATCTGTGATGTTCCCGTGTTGATGGTTTTGTTCCGGGCGGAATGGTCAAAGCCCAGCATCACCCAGCAACACGCATCAAAAACAGTGGTGCAACCCTAACAATCCAGGCCCTTCACCAATGGGAAGGGTTTGGTGTCGCACCATTGATCTAGAGTTTTAACCGAACCACTCATTGTTTTTACGATGTTACATGATTTTGCACTGCAACACCGGGTCAAGCATTTTAGTGAGTCTTGAAAAGCTAGGGGTTACAACTTCCAACGTCACATCTTCAGAAGGTTTTCGTACGTACGAAACCAACCAATGGTCAACCTCACTGGGGTGCCAACAAACGCCGGACATCTCAGAAATGTCTTCATTTCACTGAAACCCCCAAGCTTGCCAAGTCCTGAAGCACTCTGGAACTTCCTGCACCCTCCAGTTCCTACAATTGAACATGGGACATGACGTCACACATGACCCGCAAAGAAAAACAAAACAACAAAAAATAACATGAAAGCCTTAACCTGACACCTTTTCCGTCTTTGTCCCACGGGGCGCCCGGCGCCTTCGCCTTCGACTGCGGGCTCGGTGTCGGCGCGGGCGCTTCCCGGCGGCGTGGGTGGCGCAAGGTGCTGCCCAGCGGCCTGGAGGATTTCTGGCATGTGAGGTGTTGAAGGGATGTACTTGGTAGGAAGATAAAAGGAGTTAAATGGAGTGAATGATGTGTAATGAATGTCAAATGTGGAAGAGTTAGTAGGTACATGGCTGTTTGGAGTGTTGCCTCCAAACATATGGAGTCCTTTCAGAAGTCTATCTACCAGGTCAAATGGGTGTCTTGATGTCACCTAACTGGCCTCTTTGTAGATGTTAGTCGTCCTAACAGAAGCTCTAGACGCTACAGATGGATATAGATGGGTTTCTTTGGGCTGGAGGGGTCCTGGGATCGGACTCAAAGGATTGACAAGCACTTCGGAGGGGGGACAAGCGTACTGCGCCTTACCCCTAGGGCTCCAACCATATCCTCAGGTTCGGTGGTTAGACCCCCGTGGCACCCACCCCAACCATCTTCTCAGGAGGTGGGCCAGGAGCCCTAGGGTACCATCCTGGATGGGGTCCTGGGTTAAAGGTTTTAAAGCTCGGACGACTGAGTGACGGACTGTCCGATGGGACGGATCCACCGTCACCTGAACCGTGCCACATGTCAGTCGTCTCCAAGGCTCCCCCACTTGCAGGATCAAAGGATGAGCGGAGAGGATATGCATGCAGCACATCATGTAGTTCCTGATGGATGTGGTGCCGTGGCGTAGTTGCTTTTGACAGGCGCTGCAGTGGAAGTTGATGTTGCAATGCTTGTTTGCACCAAAGCGGTGGCGGTGGATTAAGGGGGATGGACTCCAAATGAAATACGTGAACATCCAACAGCATCGATTAGAAGTGGACGTTTGTATCGTCCCGGCCAAACCTATATAGGCATCATTGCGGCATCATCATGGTTCACAGGCCACTTCGGCGGACCCCCGGGCCCAATTCATGGGACCCCCCGTGTACTGGCGCAGGCGAAAGTGGCTTCGCATGCTTTGGGAGTTGTCCTAATTGTATATCCCTGACACGACCAATGGACTGCCATATATGCCGATCAGTTGGGTGGTTTTAAGGAGGTCAATGTTGGCATTTATGGCAGTCCCATGGAGTGTCTGGGTATGGTTGTATCTAAGTGTGCATCGATGAAATGCGAAATCCAAGACTTGGGCGAAGCCAACGGGCAGGTGATGTGTTTCTCCCACTAAGCTGATGACTCTCCGTTTAGAAAGCTACAACTTTTCTCGATTCCATCAGGGATCTCAATGTTGAGAGGCACAATCGTCCATCTCTGCCCCTTGGTTTTGGTGGCTCAATTCCTCAAGTGGAAATGATCGATTATGCGGATTATGGAAGACATGGAAGAGTTTCCCTGCCGCGGCCCTGGAGACAAATATTCGAACCTACCCTCCCTAACAAAAAACAAATTAACATAACATGGAAGTGGAACATGGCCCCTCAGACAGCCATTTTCGATTACCAGCGTTTTTCCACTTCCATGAATATTCCCCAGGGAGTGTAACCAGCGCAAACCGGTGCCATTTCACTTCCAATCTCCCATCCACTGACCACGCTTCTCCCGGCGCCCCACGCTTCTGGTGCATGCTGGTTCCTCATTTAGGTGGGCCCCAAACGCCAAGTCCCGAAGCCTCTGAACAAGTCATCCCAGGGTCTCAAATTTGGTAAGTTTTCGGGGACCCTCCATCTGGAGGGCTGTGAGTTTGGAGCGGTTTCAGGCGGTTTCTTCAAGTTCCTTCCATAGTTTTGCAGCTCAGAGTCAATGCTTCATTGGTCACGCGGAAGTTGGCATCGTGACCTTGAGTTGTGTTGAAAGGTCGTGATGATGTCCACTTCGTCAATACCAGCACAAGAGCTACAAACTAAATGACAGTTTTGGGCACCACATCTTGGCAAACCACAGCTGAATTGGGCCAACTTTGACTAACTGCGGTGCCGAAATCCGCACCAGTGTCTTCGGTCAGTCAACTCCTGCTGAGGCGCAGTAGCCATAGAGCCAAGCCTCCCTTCGAGCATCGGGAGATTCGTCCTCCTTGGGGTCTGCTGCTAGCAGTTTGTGTGCGGCAAAACGTGGAATTAAAGGACTGGAGAACCCCACACGTGGAGGGCAGAGTGTACCCAAACGCTCTGTTCACAGGCCCTGGTCCCCCAAAACCATAGGGATTGGTGAGAAGGTCCGGACCCCTCCATATGAGGGTACGGCCCCTACTGAACGGAGGGTCCAGGCTCGCATCTGGGTAGTATAATAAAAAGACCAAGTACATCCAAGTACTGAGACAAAAGTACCATTGCATTTGTAGGAGGAGCGTGAGATTTGGTGTGGGTTCACCTGATGTGAGATGAGTTGGTGTGAGATGAGTTGGCGCCCAGGCGCGTCAGCAGTACCTCCCATCCCCTTACGAGCAAAACGACATTGAATTAGAGGAAAAAGCCCAAAGACAAGCTGAGTGCAAGTGAGTGAGTGTAAGCAAGCGAGGGAAAGTGGGTGACAGTGAGTTGCTGTGAAGTGAGTTGCTGTGAGAGGAAGAGGAGGTGGCGGAGGAGGCGGGCAAAGGTTGCAAATAGAAGTATGAACCTCACAAAGATGTGGAGAAGAACATAGAATTTTATAGGACTGTGATGGGACTGGACCTGTTGCTGATCATCTACTGCATATTAGTGAGGTTGGGACCCATCTCTCATGTGAAAACCCTAAAAACAATGAAATATTGACTCCCAAAACATCCAACACCATTTAGTGAGTAACGCGAGAACATCCACGGCGCCACCCTGATTGTTCTCAGGGCCATGGGCGGCCAGGAGAGGTGCATGTGTCTAACTTGGGAGGAATGTGGCTGGAAGGTCAATCTCTGCAATACCTATAGTGGTCCCCAGATAGATAGTGAAACGGTTTCCAATACATGTTTAGTGGGAATTTACTTTTCTATCTATTATGTTATTCTATTTTGGGGTCTGTATATTAAAAATCGTGTCAAGCCTTACGCAGCAAAGGTTGCGGTATATAGGTCCGTCCCTCAAAATCAACTCTTGCAAAGTCATGGCAGATCTATGTGGATATCATTGTGTTTGAAGATTCTTAGTCAGTTTGTGGGGCATAAAAACCCTTCACTCTTGAGTAAACCTTACAGCAATCCCTCTTGTGAAACTACTCGCGGCGCCTTTGCTGGAAAAAAGGAAGTCCAAGGGTACAGTCTCCACGGAATGGGGCGGGACATCCTGTTTCGTCCACTGAGCAGTCGATTGTGTTGTTATTGATGGGTGGGTCGTTTTCGAAGAATGGAAAGTGGCTGTGTTCCACGCGCGTTAAGTACTTAATTTTGTGAAACACAACGCCTGACGACTGCTTGATACTCATGCATGCGCATTCCATGTTCTTCCCTGTTCTGCATGTTTGTTCAGCCACGGTTTAGCTGAAAGGGGCACCGGGTGCCGCTTTGTTTTTCACATGAACCTGTCTGAACCCACTTACATATATATATATAACATATAATATATACATACACATTCGCACCCCCCAACAGGTGCTAACAGGTGTTTCCTGCAAACACAACCCAGACATCAACTGTTAGGATCCCCAAACGACCTGGCGGAAGGTCTTGGTTGATTTGCCCCTCGCGTTCTCATGTTCTGTCCCGACCTTAGGAGGTTGGCGAAGTGCCAAGCGTGAAGGTTTAACGCACCCACACCCAACACTCCATGGGACTGAGTTGCCCTCCTTCAACCACCCCAAATGTGCGAAATCATGAAGTCAGTCCCATGGGGTGTCTGGGGACAATACGTCCAACAAAATTGAATCCAAAAAAGAACACCAATGGGATAATGGGACCCAATTCAGATCGTGAAAGGCGTGAACCTCCTAAAACCCAGATGTTGATTTGAGGCATCAACAAACACCCCGGACTTAACAGGTTCAGAGACCCCCCAAGCCCCTTGCGCCCAAGGCACTCGAAAACCCTCTGGGATGTGTCCACTGAGCCTGCTTTGCGACGGCAGCGCGGCCGTCTTCTGGGCGGCCGTTTGCGACGGAGGAGGGATTGTTTGATCAGCCGGAGCTTTGGTACGACCCTTGAGACTGGTGTAGCGTCTCAGTCAACATTTTTGTCACGTATATGTACAGAAATATTTTTGCTAAAGCAGGTTCAACGTGTCTCTAAAACATTGGGCATGAAAGTGTGTGTTAAAACCTCTTCTGTAAGTACAACTTTTTGTTTTGATTGTTTTTCATTCTGTAAGTCAGTTTGTCATAGTTTACATGGAAGAACTAAGCAGCCATGTTTATTTTTCAACGGTGATCTGATTAAGCACCGGAGTATCAGCTTTTGAAGCAGTGGAGCGCTTTGACATTTATTGAGTCAACGGGTTCGATTTTTCCCGAATGCGTAGCGAAGGGTGCCCGTTTATAGTTGGGGGTCTGGGGGTTGGAGCTGTGTTTGCATGGCTTGCGTCGTCTCGTCGTCTCTCGTCGTCTCTCGTCGTCTGTCGTCGTCTCTCGTCGTTTGTCGTCGTCGTCGCGTCTCAAATTTGCTGCCATTGGGGGAAGCTTTTGCAAGTGAGTTTGCATGGATGCGTCATATGTTAGTTTGCACCGCTATTCCATTGTGATTTGCATGACAATGACGTGTCGCGCATGGACTTCTTCTTGCTCAGCACAGCAGATGCGACAAGGCCTTTGCCAGCGACACTAATCACTTGGTCTTCCACGGGAGTCCTGATCATCACACACATAGTGGAGGCACTTTGTGTATGAAGTGGGATCCCACTCCAAGCCTGGGCGTGTGGTGTTGCCAGTCTGCTTGACAATCAGCTGGCCCAGATTACTGTACCAAACAGGGCATGGAAGTTCATGGAAGACAGCGCCGCTTGGTAGCCACCTTCATTCCAATCATGAACTTGCCCTCGGAAACTGAAAACGCAAAGTCCTCATCTGGGATCCACATGCTCCCTTGGTCAGTCGCACATGTGCCTTGGATTAGACCCCACAAACTTCCAAAAAAACAATGCTACCACGCGCGCAACAGCTTGACTTGGCGGGGTCCACTCTCAACCTTTGCTGCCAACATACCCCATGTGCGCAACATGTCTGACAACCTTTAAGTTATGTTCGATGTCTTTTTGTGAGGCAGGGCAAGCATCCTAATAGCATTCAAGTCCTATCGGAGTCTATCTGCACATATCTGCACCCAACTCTGCTTCCATGTTCATCCCATGTTCATCTGACTTAATCATGTTCTATCATGCTCTAGACGTCTGTCCCATTTCGCATTATTCTGCACCTACATGCGCAGAAGTCTGACAAGTATAGCTGAATTCGCCAAGCTCCCCAGGTAGTATGAAAGGGACGACTTGGCCAATGTGAAGTGAGCCAAAATGCGGATTCTATTGGACTGGCCGAGTGTACAGTATTCTTCTATTGGACAGGCCGAGTATCATCATAGTATCATCGAGTATGAATTATGCAGTGGCTGCAAATTGTTCTTATGCTCTGCCAAAAAAGGGGGACAAGCAAGGTGTGAAACATGCAGAAAATGTGCATGTACATTAAGGTACTCCCCTTTACTTTAAGTAGGGGGTCTCTATTTGTGTTTGTTTTGTGTAAAACTTTGAAAGCACATTCTACTTCACTGAACTTACAGTAAACCTTGTACATGTGTAAAAGAAAATGCAAGTGCTTGATTTCATATTTATGTGTTTAATTCTGGTATCTCGACGCTAAGTGGCTGAGTGGCTGGCAGGAAGAAAACCTGTCTGGCTTTATGGAGACCCAATGGATGGAATATACAGTATGGTGCAAAATATGTTGTTGTTGTTGTTGTTGTTGTTTTGTGAAGAAAGGGGCACCTTTCTCTCAGAGGCACAAATACATATCAAGAAAGTCAATTTGTCAACCTACCGGTAGTTTGTTTCAAGACTGGTCCAGCTGATGATCATTACCATTGCCTTTTCTTCTTCCGCTGTCAAGTCCACTCGCTCCACCTTGAGATCGTCTCAGCCCGCGTGTTGCTGACAGGATCCCAAGCGGCCAGAATCCCTAAAGTCAGTGTACCCAGGAATATCAAAGAATCACACTTTAAATTTTGCTGCGAGCTTAACAGGAAGGTAAAAATAACACAATACATGAGCAACTGTTCGCTGTTTAAGTTGTTCCGGGTTTGAGGGACCCCCTTTTGACAAAAACGAAGCCGAAGCTGTTGTATCTTGGGGTGGGAGGCGCGTGTTTCTTAGTTCTATATGCGTAGGTGGAAGGGATTATGTGTGTCTCTTGTCTTTACTGCACCTTTTTGCTGTGTATTTTTTTGTTTGTGGCCCATGCCAGCAGGGCCTCTCCTCTTTGGGGTCATTTCTTCAAGGGGTTAAGAAGTTGTCAAAAGTCTGAACATGTCTGTGTCTGAATGCTTGTGTGTGAGGCTGAGAGAAGACCTTTAGACACCGTGCCAAGAGTTAACTAGTCATTTGTTGGCAGGTTGATGAGTCAGTTTTCCAGTCCCATGAAGTGTCTGGGACATTCTTAAATTCAAGACTTGACAGCCGCTAGTTCCCAAGGGTGAACCACTATATGTTTCCTACATCACTTTGTGCAAGGAGAACCGAACATACGCTATCAACAAGACGTGGAAACTGGTGTTTGCTGCCGGGTTATGCTTCACTTTCTCATGACCTTCTCTGTTCTTCCTTTCAACAAAAACACAATCCACCTGCACCCACCACCCCAACTGCCAAGACCCCACTGCATGACTCGGAACCAATGACTTACGTACCCTGCTCGGTGATTTCTCCTTCTCTCCCCCAAGCTCCGCAGGGCTCCGGCGGGTCCAAGTGCTGATGGCCGGTCCGCCCACCTCCACCCCCCACCGCAAGGCCAATGCTCACCCCCCCACACCCCGCGCCAGTCGGTGAGCTTCTCGCGCAGCGCCTGGGCACCTGAAAAAATGGGCGGTCCGCCCTCGGGCGACGGGACCGGGTCGGACCTGACAGAGTGGCGGCCACCGGCGGCCAACCTCTGAGTTTGATTGGGAATGAACATCAAGTGCTGAGGCCAACCTCTCATTTCAACCTCTTGATCGATCCTTGGCACTGAGAATGACATGATTTCTGTCCACTTTAAGGATCGAAGCCCTTCTCCAAATGGTAAGGGTTTGGTTCGGGGCCCCAAACACCCTGCAAGTCGGCGAAGAAGGTCCAACGCTTGAGAACTGGAGGGCCCATGGCGATTCAAGTCTTGGTCTGGAAGTGAATAGTGAAGGCCATCCATGTCTCCGTGCCCATCTGCATTTCAAGCTTAATCTCTGTGATGGCGATCTGGGAGCAAGCGGAACTCAGCATCTGCTGCATCTCGCCTCTGCCTATGCTCTGGGAAATCAAATGTTATATATACATGGTCTGTAGGTGACCCGAGTCCAGAAGTTTCATTCGATGGTCCCAAGAGCTGGACTTTTTAGACCATTCTCTGGTTTCGTATACGTACAGAACGAAAACCTGCTGGATCCTCTCGATAAGGTATGGCCTCCATGCTGAAACATGCTCAACCACCGGCAAAAATGTCCAGTCCCACAGATTGTTTGGGTAAAGTATGGCTTCCATGTCATGTTTTAATTTAAATGTCTCTTAGATGTTTCACTACAATAAACAGGTCTGTCCGTCCCATTCTTCTAACATGGTCTTCACCGAATGAAGGCTAGCCACAGGGGGCTATAGTATGGCAGCACCATGTTGGTTGAAATCCGATCTCTCACTAAGGATGTTAGACTACAAAAATAGGTCTGTCCCATTCTTTGAACGGCCTTCTTCACTCAAGACAAGCCACAGGAGCCAAACATATATGCCCTTTTTTTGACGCCGTGACGCACCGCCGGCAACTCCGAACCGCTCCCCGATCTCGGTCTCCGGGGCCTCTCATTTTGGACTCGAAGATCTCCTCCCGCAACGCTCGCCGCAGCCGGGAAGGCACATAGTCCTCGACCGGAGCAGAACGGCTTCGGACCGGAGCGGCGAAGCCGGATCTGGCGCCACGGGGCGGCGTGGAGGGGGGTAGAATGGATAGAGAAGCAGTGTAACGTGAGACAGTGACATGCATACTCATCCATGGATACATGAGGACTAGTCATATATAATGAGTCTGTGAGTGTGAACATGTGGGTTTGGGGTAAACATTGCATGTTGTCTCATAAGCTTGAAGTATTTTCCAAACTCCCTAGAACTTTGAGGTTTAAAGGCTTGAGTTTTGGTTACGCTTATATAACTATTTGGCAGCAAACCTGTAGAGCACATGTCACTCGGAGAAGGTAACCTTGAAAGCTGACAGTATTTTGTCTACTGAGTTGAACGGGTTGCTTCGTTCTACAAAAGATGTTATCTAAAATGGTCAGTACGCACATGAACCCCCAAGTCCAATTTCAATCATTCTTGAGCCAAACCCTCATCTAAATGGACCCTTCAAATGGTTTTATTAGATATTTGCCCGCAGTCCAACAAAGACGGTACTAGAGAAAAGAACCGTTTCAAACCTCGCGGATGGCATGTGCTGTCAGCTCCGCAAAGACACCCGGGTTCATGGACTCTCAGGCCGCCGAGAGTGGACGACGGGGTGGGCTGCCCCCGGTTCGGTGTCTCACCACATGGCACCGAAGCGTGCTGTTTCATCGAACATGCGAGTACGTCGAGTACGGAAGAACCATGCAAACGAAGAACTGAAACTGAATCGTTTTCCCTCCTGGACGGAACATGCCATCCTCCTGCATTCGAAGGAGTCTCCCATCATCTTGAAACTCACTACGAGCCTCACTCGAGCTCATACCTTCCCTAGATAAGAGGTCGGTCTTCTCCCTCCCTCCGACCGGTCAGGAAGTCGGTCCGTTGACCGGTCCCGCCATGACGTCTCCGCCCGCCACGTGGTTCCGAGCTGTTTAGAGTCGGGTCGAAGACCCGGGTTTTTGAAGCAGAAAGCAGGTTCTTGCATGAGAGGTTGTGAATAGCCGGGTTCTTGGCCTGCGACTGTCTTCTTTTAAGGTTCTAGGCTCCTAAGGTAGAGTTCACCATCGAGTTCAACCGCTTCACCACGATGCACCGGACGAGCCGTGCTTCACTCCTGGAAGAGCCGGGCTTGAAGTACATCCGGCCTCGCGCGGCACCGCCGAGATCTCACGAACCACCCAGCAACGCCCAGTACCTGGAGTTCAGACCTCACCTGAAGCGGTCTATGGGTATACAGCTCTTGAAGGAGCCAAGTCGTCCCAAATGTGTTCTCCATGTTTTTTACACTTGGAATGGATCTTTGGAACCATCATCTTCCCCACGGCGGCCTGGCCCTCACAGGCCTGGCCCCGACGCATGGCGTCCCGCCCCACGTCCCACGAAAAATCGCGCCTCACGCGGCTGTCCAACGAGAGATAGGTGAGTCGGTGTGGATCGCGCCGCGCGGTGAGTTGTTCTGCCAGGCCGAAGTGGATGCCTTGGGGAACCCCAACCAACCGCTGTGAGGCATGAACAAGCTGGGAGTGGAGCTCTCCCAAGCTTGCTATGTTGGACTCCAAGAGTCCAGTACATTCCAGTGCCTTTTTTACAGGAATTCTTGATGCTGCTTCTTGAGACTTTATAAGGGTGTTGGTCCTTACTGTGTTTTTGTTTGTTGGAATATCTAGCGTTTTGTGGTTGTGCAAGCTTGCTCCAGTTCTTGACGAGTGCTCACTTGGCCGGTTTCGCCTAACTGTCGAAGGTGACCATTCTGACAATTCTGTTTAAAGTAACCCTACAGTACAGGTCCAGTCCAGCCCAGTAAAACCTGATCCTTGAGTCATTGAGTCCTTGACCTCATTGAGTAGTACTATGATCAACTCCCGTTTCCAGAAGGTCCAACTGACCTGTAGGGTAGTACGGGGGCGGAATGTTCCAGGTTGGCCCAGCAATCGTTCCACTCCAACAGTACCCCAAGAAACGAAGCACAGCAACAGCTGCTCCAACCACCTTGCAAGATTGGGAACATGACACTGCTATATCTGTTATTTATACGTTATCGTCTGCAAAACCAGCCAAAAGGCAACCAGTCATATATGCATCTAGTTGGAAGACCCGAGCATGACACGACCCGAAACTGGCCTATTTCACCTAATCCGGAGGGGTTTGGAATGGTCGTGGGTCGAAGCGGTGCGGTCGTCCGGAGCGTTTGAGACACATGTCGACTTGCTCATCTGTACCAAACCCATCCACTCCATGGGACTGGAATCTATGCCAGTCCCAGACAGACCCCCCAAAGCACCACCACCCCTGGCCGTTTTGAAGGCAGTCCGACATGGCAGTCCCATTGGTCGTGTCTGGGAAATATGGGTTCCAGGACCTGAAAAAAGGCGACCATCCTTGAGATTCTTCCAGCATTAAGGTGACAAAGAGGCCTGTAAAGGGTGACTTTAGACGAGGGTCAAAAGGTCCTGGTTAACAGCAAATCTGTTTGCTATGGCTCTGGGTGGACATCCAGCAGACTTTGAGATCACCATCGACGGCAAGTGGGAGGTGCGTGTTCGCTTCCGCGCATGTCTCTTCGCGCGCCTGTCTTCGCTGCCAGGCCGCTGGCATAGAAATGGCTTTCAAAGTGCATGTCGGCCGTCTCCGTGACTCCCTGAGAAGGCTCGGAAACCGCCGATGGATGCGCCGAAAACTCGCGACCGTGCGAATTCGTTGGCGCGGGTGCGGGGTTCGTTGACCACCTGGAAACCCAGTCCCAACCGGAAAAAACATTGGTGCCAACCATGTGTTAAGGATCTCAATTGCGAATATATTGGAAAATTGTGGAACAACCAATAACAACCATATTTTTGTTTGAGGTTGGGACTGGGCTTGCAGGTACACGATGCTTTACCACTACAATGACTACAACCCCCGTTGCGTGAGTGATTTTCTCACTCAGCCATCCTTGGTGTTGTTCCGTCCAAAGGCCTCAAAGGAGACCTAGAAAGGTTGAACAGCCATATATCGTATAGCCTATCGGATATGTAGAACATGGCCATTGACGCTTGGACTATTAGATTTCAGGTGCGACGAGGATAACGTGTATGTGAATGATGAGAGATGGGTGATATATGGTGATATAGTTTTGTTTTGTTTTGTTTCTCTTTATCACTGTAGAGTTGCAATTTGCGTGCGCCAAGATACGCCAAATATGTTTTGCGTTCCTTTCTTTGGGAGACCATGATTTTTGATGTTTCATGAGAAACACATATCCAGGTGCGCCATTTTTTTCATGTCGGCTGAGAGCACTTTCTTTTCCTTTTTTTTGTAAGTTCAGGTGTCGACTTAGCTATTGCATGTGAAAAGCCCAGGATGGCACTGACGCTTTTGGAGATCGTGGATGCGAAACAAGTAGGAGAGGCATGGTGGTAATGCAGAAGTGATCGCAGAGCAAACTGAGAGTGAACAACTGTCACGACATGTCTTTCTCGCCTTCTGTCGGAAAGGCTTTGGCAAAGTATTCTATTCCTGCATCTTCTGGTCCGTTCTCCGGGAATATTGTTATGTATTGGAGGACGCAGTTTGATTCTGAGGCCTGGGTGCTTGAATTTTGAAACCTAGAAGCAATGGCCTCCATCCTAGTAGGGATGTCCACCAACAGAAGAGCTGTCTTGTGCGGTCTATGGTTCGATGATGCAGATAGATTGATCACTGTGCACCAAATTGATCTATACAGCTTGTGATTTCCAAAGAATCTAGGAACCACCTGATTCAGACTCAATCTTCAAGTTGAGCGGCAGGGGGAGCTTTCTTGAAGAAACCTATATAGGTAGTGGTTTCTTAAGCTTCGTAGCTACGGCCTACTTCCTGTCCTGGCTTAAACGCATGTTCAAGACCGAGTGCCTTGGCCTTTTCAGAATTTGCTTCTTGTTCCTAGGAGTAAGGCCAGGAGACCCTGTAGCGTCTTTGCTCCTAGTTAGTAGCGATGCCTTTTGTTTCTAGTAGCTTCTTGTTCCTATAGGAGTAAGGCCAGGAGCCTCTAGTAGCGATCTTGCTCCTAGTTAGTAGCGATGCCCTTTGCTTCTAGTAGCTTCTTGCGGCAGTTTTCATTGATGAATACGTGTTCGCCGCTTTGAATCTTATACATGGACCTCTTCCAAGTCGTGCTTGCATACTCTGCACATGCATTTCGGCTATGCTTCACAACACAGTAACCCCCCCGACGCACTCATTCCATCCCACCCATGAAAAACCATACATATTCGCAAGTAAGTGTTGTTTTTGGCAGCTCGTTGGTATGGATGCGATGGGAGACTTCGTACACAGTGGATTCGCGCTGGTCAAGGATTGCGCTGACCCGTGTGGATCGCGTTTTTAGTAGCCAGAAACCATCAGAAACCGTATAACATTCGTTGTTTTTTGATGATAGAAATTAAGGACACGAGCTGTTCTCAAAAACATGTTCATGGAGGTTGGCCTGCATCGATCTAAGCTCTGAAGCTTTAAACACAAACGGCGGCGTTTTGCTGGCACTACACTGCTTTGACCTTCTTACTTCAAATTGACACATCTTGGAAGCAGCGCTCTTGTCAGTTTTCAACACCTCAAAAACCACATTCTCTGCAATGCCACATGTGAAGACATCGAAGCATCGTGATTTGGAAAAAGAGTTTGTTGATGCAGAGTGAACATGGCACTACATTCAACCCCTTTCTCACCTCTTCACTCGCGGCTGCTTAGGACTATTCTTGGGGGCCGGTTTCTTCTTAGGCTTAGGCTTGGCAGTAGGCTTGCATTGGTGGTAGGCTTTGGATTGGGTTCCTTTGGATTTTTCGCTTGGTTCTTTCTGGAGCTTCGGCTTCTTTGAAGCCGATGGCTCGATGATTTCATCTGTCAAGGCCTCTTCTTCTGGATCTTTCGACTCATGTGAGCCAGGATGTGGTGCACGTGGCTCTTGGACAGGGCTCTTGGATGCGCCGGCTCCTTGTCTTTCAGCTCCTCTCCATAAAGCTCTGAACCCGCTCCTCTCGTGCACTCTTTGTGCAAACTTCTGACGGTAGCTCTAACTGCCCGGCTCCACCATGGCCTCTGTTGTGAATGAATCCAACGCAGACTTCATCTCGGCTTTCTCAAACTCGCTTGCACCTGGACAGAAAGAAGCTTTGTTATCAAGAGGTGGCCCGGCCCGGGGAAACCAGAAGAGCAAGGGCAGAAAGTATGCAGTCTTGCCAAACTGGTGCAGAGGAAGGTAAGGGACCAAGTACGCAGTCAGGTCAACCGATTGAGGATGGTTTTGTTGGAACGCATCAGCTTCCTCGATTCCTGGGCAGCCTGGGCAGAGCTGGCGGCACAGGTGACCAATCGATCTGATCCCACACCTGGATCCATTGCTCCGGGTCGTCGAAGTAGTCTGTTGCTGCTGCACTGTTGCTTGAACGAGTTTGAGTCCGGAGTTTGTCCATCCCTTGACCAATGCTTCGGGGAGCTGCCATTGCCATGTGGATCACAAGTCTCTGGCTTGCTCCCATCGGATGTGAATTGCTTTTACAGCTGCCGCCTAAGCCTCGACCACTGGAGCCGTTGGGGTCCACTGCTGCCGGTCGTTCAACCTCTCTCGGACCGGAGGGTACGACCCGAACGCCGTCCATCGCTTCGGCCGCCCAACGCTGTGGTCTCACCGCCTTCGTATGATGAAGGATTTCTTCTGCCATCTGGCGACGCTGCCTGTAGAGCACTCGCAGCACTTCGTCCTGCAGGGTGCTCAATGGTGCTCGATGGGGCCAATGTGGCGTGTGCTCCCCTTCCCTTAGGGATCCAGTCTATACCTTCTCAGGTCAGGTAATTGGAGACAGTGCCAGGAGGGTCCAATCGTACCTTCTACGACTCCCTAGGAGCCCATAGGGGCCCTAGGGCTTTGATTCACCTCTCCAGAAATCCATCTCCGCCATAGCCACAAGGTCACAAGCTTTCATCCACATACAGTAATCGTCCAAAGCGATCCTCTAGTGCCTCTAACCGTCGAGCCTACGCTCCGTTCACAGCCCAACAGGTGCCTCAAAACCTACCTGGACCCTCTAACAGGTGTTTACCTGGTGACAACACATGTCCAGAAAACCACCTCTTAGGTTCCTAACACCACCTGTTGGAAGGTCCTGATATAGCGTTTTAACATGTTTAAACACTTGAGACCCTGAAGACATGAGTATTGGGGTGTGATCCCTCCAGGTTGCATGAGCTCATGAGCGACTACCTATACTCATCTACATGCTACCAGCACCTGACTTCAGCCCGGTGGTTCTGGGACAACCAATGACAACCCTTAACCTCTGTACAAAGGCTATATACCAGGAGTCACAAAGGGGTGCCGAACTTGGAGGTTAGGGGTGCCCAGCTACTCCACTCACTGGATGGGACCAAACACCACCCCGACATGTGACGCCTGGTATATAATATATATATATATATTATAGAGAGAGAGGCACCCTCAACCTCTTTACAAAGGCTATAGACCCCAGATATGCAGGGTCCTGGTACTATGGATCATCCTTCTAGGCGATCTGAAAAGACTTCTGCAGGCGACATCATATATGTTCCCTGGAAGTCCTATTTCGACGTCTCTTTCCCCATGCTCGGACGAACGGTGATCCGAGTTCGGGAATGTCCGGACTACTTCGGTGGTGCAAAGTAAAGTCTTTGGAATACTATAGGGTATAAACATGTATATAGACTAGAAGCCCAAAGGCTATATGTTTCTCACCAGCGATGTAAGGCAGGAAATTCCTGGCCCCGGGTCACCTAAAATCATCTCCAAACATGCTTGACTGGCCTCCCAGGTTGTACATGAGTCACGCATTCTCTCAAGTTAGTCCCACAATCCTCACGACATCGGCATACATTGGGATCCCACAGTCGATGGCTTTCGGAAGCTCCCCTAACCTGTTCGACTTGTCGTGGGACAACTCTTCTGCACAGGAGGACACATCAAAAAGGAAACCGGGAACAAAGCATGATCGAGTCTCCAGCATCCAAAGAGAATGAGCGGGTAGGTACGAACTGGATGTTGCAGGTCCAGCTACAACCCAATAAACATCATTGCAAAAGCGCGTCAGATCTCCTCCTTTATACCCAAAACGCTCCGTTCACAGCCCAACCATATGGCCATCGGTTCGACCCCAAAACCCCCGAGGAAAACCGGGTCCGAATGTCTCCAAAGCATTCAGGGCCGCTTGCGAGTCGCATTTGGGTAGGTCATATCTGGGTCTTCCAACTATGCCAAGCTTCTGCCCTTTTGGCTTGTTTTGTAAACGAGAAGGCATCAATTCACAGTTGGTCCAGGTATTTCCTGAAATTCCCCATCATGGTTTTCTTAGATCGAAGAAAATCCATTTCAGGAGGTGTTCCCGGTCCCCAAACCAGCTCAATCTTTTAAACACACAGTCTTCACGCCACGGTCCACCCAGTCTCAACCCTTTGTCCTCCGCGTCCAAGGCGTCAGATCCAGTGACCTCACCGGTGACCTCGGCCGGTGACGGCGGTCACGGCGGAGGGGTATACCGCCCCTATAGGGGAGGTAGGGGATCTGGATGGATCTGGGTGTGTTAGTTGTTTCTTTTCTTTCCCACGTCACTAATGTGGGGTTCTTGTTTCAAGCAAATCCTCATGTCCCGCCCAAAAAGAGAAAAGAGCCTCTGTTTTGTATAGGCTGCCGGTGGCTTCTTCGCTTCTTCTGTTGTTGGCGAAGGATCTTCGTTTCTGCAACAACACCAGGTCCAAGGGAACTCTTTTCATGGTCGAATGGAAGACATACTGTAGAGATACCCCACATGAAATGGAAGGTCCAACAGCCACAACCGATCACAACAGCCAAAAAGACCGGTTCACATTTAAACAACACACGATGTCGACGAACCCTTGGTGTTGACACATCCTGTGAAACGCCCCCCCAAAAAAAACGAGATGAAGGAGCACCAAAGCTTCCGGTTTGACTCCTTGTTTCACCCTACCTGGGAGTCCAAATCCAATATGAGGGGTAGAGTTCATGAATGTTCATGAGGCATTGCATGACTGGACTCTCAGGGAACGCTCTGAGATACGACTCACCCACGTGAGGCCACTTAGCCGCCCACTGGTCACTGGTCGCGCCGATCGCCTCGGCGGCCTTTAGGGGGCTAAAACCGAGGCGGTGACGACGTCAAGTCCTGACGGTCAGTCGGACGTGACATGACGTCAATGGAATGAGATTGTTGAATAACCAGGAAATCTAATCCTGTGCCTGGAAGCCAGGCAACAGCAAAGGCTAGGAAACAAATGGTCCCCCGGTTGACCAAGTCCCGCCCGAACAACATGCGGTCAGCCCACGCATGGCGCAGTGACCGAGTAGCCAAATCATGCATGTTGTGGATCTCCCGTTCCCAGCGGTAGATACCTCAACTCCACTGCCGATGTACCCAGCTACCCAGCTACTCGTGAACTCTCGTGACCGATTCTTGGATTTGGTGGCGGGGCCGAAGGACCAAAATGTTTCAAATGGATCTCAAGTCAACATATATATATGTTGTAAAGTGGATGGATCTTTCGACGACTCAACAAAAAAATGCAAACAACACCGAACAAACAAACAAACATATATGGTTCCGAAGCCACCAACAATCACCAAAACAATAATTGAACAAACAAAAACAAGAATAAATGGTTCCGAAGCCTCAAAACGGGGCCCCGCCTTTCTTCAAGGCCGAACCACGACTCGGTTTGGCAGACATCCAAAGGGGGACGTGCTGTCGTGCACAAATCAAGAAGTGTACATGTGGCAGCCCCTTTTTTGAAAGTGAGGCCATAGGAAAAGGCCGAGTCCTGCGGTCATGCCATCACATTTTTAGGTTTAAAAGCTCCACGTGTGATGTGTGAATACGGAGATGAATGCTTGTACAACCACGAGGTCACATATCTTCACAAAACACCACGAGACGTTAATTGACCTGAAAAAGGACCCGTAACCTGAGATACCCAACTGGGATAGTCAAACTAGGCTTCTTCCACCTCTGTTTGCATGTTAGTTCCAACAATCACAGAGAACCACCGAACCCTTGTCGTCGCCCGTGGAGGTCCCTCTGCTCATCTCTTCCAAGGCGCAATCGTCTACGCAGTCGGCGTATTGCCTCACATGACCGGCAATGCTTACGGCTCCAGCCACATCCGAAAAGGCTCGGTGGTTGGGGTGGGTGCCAGGGGGGTCTGTCCTACCTTCTGAGGATGTGGGACAGGAGCCCCAGGGAATAGCTCACAAATGATGTGGGACAGGAGCCCTAGGGAATAGCTTACAAATGATACAACTGATACAGCCAGGCGCTGACTTCAGCCCGGTTGTTCTTGGACACCCTGTTCCTCACCTCATTTTTACAGAGACTATTTGTAGACACCAAATATGGAAGGTCCTGGTACAAATGCAAATTTCGGAAAACTTGAAAGTGACCCCTCTTGTACCAGTCCAAGGTTGTATGTTCTTTTCTCGCACGCGTCATACTGTGAGAATCCTTGCTTGGCGAAGGTCAAGGAAGTCTTCTACTTGATTGATTTGGATTCCAACTCGACCGGGTTTCACCAATTCCACGGCCATGGCCGCCAACTTCATGAAACCACAAACCTCGTATCTTTGCGGACCACCAAGACTATTTTGTGCGGCTTCTGGTTTCATCATTCTGATCATTGACTGATCAAGTTTGTGCAAAAGAACGTGAATCACCTCAAGATTGGGAGTGCTATTATATGGAGTTCCAAGCGGTGTTCCTATTTTTGGTCGATCAACACTTGTACGCAACTGTATTGCAGCACTGAGTTATGATCAATCACTTGCCACACAACCGCCGATACGGGTCCCCTGTGCTTCACAACTATCGAACCCGCATGTCCCCTAGCCTTCAACAACCGTTAAATTAGCTTACCATGTGTTGTGTTCTAAGATCCTGAGTATGAAACTTTATACTGGGTTCAGATGACGTGTACTCTGTGGGGTCATTGGGACTCAATTTGAAAGCAGATGACATGGCAAAAGTGCATACAAGAAAAGCGGGAACTAATGACATGGGGACACCTCCATTAGAGATTTTCATTTGGGGGTTGGGGTGTATTAAGACACATGAGACGGCACACGGTTCTCTTTTTCTCCTCCCGATGATTTTGTACTTGGTAGAGGATCTGCGTCTGCGTGGGTTTCTGTGAAGGATGCACTCTTTGCACAGTGCCATTAGCCAGTCACAACAGACAGTGGTTTTCTTTTTCTACTTTTTTACTAAATGAGATATAATTAGGTCTTTAAGTCTTACCAGTCATTTTAGATGAGTGGTAGCCACGGGAATCATCTAGAATCATCACTTCTCAACAGCCCTATTGGGCCCCCCTCAAGTTGCCCACGCAGTTCCAAACACGCTGTTTGCAGCCGTCTGCTCTGAACAGGGCCTTGAATCAAAAAGGTGTGGCATTTCAAACAGATTTGCTATTGAACCATCACTTCTCATGAACATCCAAAACAAAACAAATTCTGAAATCCATGTCATGTCCCCATCAACTTGCCCTCAGGTAGATGGTGATGTTTGCTGCTGGAACAAACGGGTTGCGCTGGTTG